GGGGGCAGGGAGTGAAGGGGTTACAGTTTGTGGGGGGGCAGGGAGAAATTAATTTACATTGGGGGGCAGGGTCTGGGGGCTGTGTCCTACCTTTATTTAATTCCCTGGTGGTCCAGTGTTGCCATGGTGACGCTCTGGGTGCTCGCGAGACTTCTATAACACTGTCTGCAGCTCTGCACCCGGCGGAGCTGCAGACTGATTGAAGGGAGCCCAGCGGTATACAGGGCAAGCCACCGAGCTCCCTCCTGGTGTCAGTCTGCTTGCCTGAATCGCCCTGCGACCCACACTTTGGGAACCGCTGTCCTAAAGGATGCAAAACCAGACAGAATCCACTTTAACTGTGGCAAGTCACATTGGGAGAGATTTACAAAAGGAAAAGGTTCTACTAAGAGGCAAATTGCTAGCGAAGGTGCAATCACTATGGAAACCAATAGACGGTCTCATGTCGTTAGCATTTTGCAAGCAAAAAGAGCACCTGTTTGACAAGTCTCCCCTCCCCCCATATCTATACATTGGGCTAGTTAAGTTATAAATGCAAACATTCATAGAAGAAAAAAAAAGAAAGAAGAAAACATTAATTACCGTATATTTGGTTCCAGTGATGGGGGACCACGTTGACCGACAGATTTCTATATTCGCTTTTCCTTTTCTGCCGTTCTCCATTTGGCTCCAGAAGCAATGCATTGTGACAGACGTTATAAGCCCCCAATAGAGGTGCTGGCCTTTAATATTCAAATTTGGCAAATCCCAGCTAGCACAAGGTATACCAACACACAGCAAAGCCCTTTAAGGTAAAGTGAGGTCCATTTTAGAGAGAGGTTTTTTTTTTCTTCAAACACAGGCGGCCAAAACCCATTTGGTGATACTGTCACTAACATTAATAGATGGACCTCTAAAAGAACGAATTCAGGAAATACTTAATATTTTTTACAGCCCCTCTTAGCTATTAATGTCTGCTTGTTCTTTGCTACCAGCAGTGCAGCCTCCATGTGCTACTATAGTCTAATAATTCCTACTTCCTGTGACCTCTGACCTGGATATTATTATGGACTTTAAAAATGGTTCCTTTCATTAGCAGTCTGTAGTACCTTTTAGTTTTAGAGAGATGTTAAATATTATAAATAAATAGATATATACAGATATAAATTGCAAGGAACCAGTACTCATAGTGTTTATTTCTTGCTATTTATATATGGACTGAACACCGTATTGGAGCAAAGTGTAAAAGCGAACATTTTGTTGGTTAATATTAACTGGAACTCCCACAGTCAAAGAATATATTTTATTTATAATACAGATACATTCTGTATACCATTGAAAGTACCATATTTGCCAAATGTTGGGAGGTATGATTATTGGGACAGGTGGGCAGAGTGTTGGCAGTGACGCATGTCCGCCCACTGAAAAGGCATGTCTGCGGACTGAGGCCCGGTCTGGCCGGTCCCCAAAATGCAGGACCATGCAGAGAGCACTGCTGAAGCCATCTCTGTATGGTTTGTGGCCATTCACAGCGCATAAATAGACAACAGGCGGTTTGCCTGCCATGTTAGGCCAGCCCACTGAGTACAGATCCCGCAGGGAGCACGGCTTCAGTGCTCTCTGCAGGGTCCTAGTGCGAGCACGTCTATGATACCACCGTGCAAGGCATTTTGGGGACAGTTCCCTGGTGTCCACAAAAGCAGGACTTCCAGGAATTAAATTGGGACGGCGAGACAGGACCTGAAAAAACTAGGCTTTCTGACCAGAATCGGGACGGTTGGGAGGCATGGTATTGTTGGGAATTCAAAGTGAATTTAAAATTTAAGGCTAAAGTAGCTGAATTGTAAACAAAACTGATTTGGACAAATTTTCCAGTTTGGCTATCTTGCCCACTCTCACTTTAGTGGATAACCCAGAAAGCCTCCTTTTTTTTCTCCACCCTTGTCGGTTTCTTTAATTACATAGTTGTGTAAACCATATCTTGACCCCAAACCCTTTGCCCCTCATCTATCTTCTACCTGGTGTTTTCTTACCCGGGCGATGTATTCTGCCTCTCACGCCAACCCTTTGTCCTCGATCAGGTACCTTACAAGGGTAGCTGATCTAGCTGGGTCTTGATGCAGGTAAGTGCACACTTGTATAGTTTAGACTTTGCTGTAGATCACTCTTCCCTAAACGCTGGCCCTCCAGATTTTGCTGAACTACAACTCCCGTGATTCTATGAATAAAATAATAGATGGGCTGAGAATCATAGGAGTTGTAGTTCAGCAACATCTGGAGGGCTGGAGTTTGGGGAAGCCTGCTGTAGATGTTAAAGGTGTGGACACTCTGTTTGGACAAGTGTTAAAATGTTAAAGACTGATGAGAATGCAACAAGAGACATGGCCAGTATATAAAACATAATGTCATTGCTGGCAACAATATTTCACTCGGTATACAGAGTATAAATTCTTCTAGTGGGTTGAAGGTGGTAGTCCCTAAACTGTGAATATTAGCAAGGTGGTGATATTGAGGATACAATAGACAAGATCAGTAAATTTAGCAAGTAGCAGAGCATCCAGCAATGCTGGACAAGGGGGGAGGCAAAGTACCTTGAAAGCAGGGAGGCACTGAGCAATCGCTTTAATAGCATTATAGAGAAGAAAGAACAGGATTAATTCGTAAATGAGGGGGAGTTGCACCATTAGCTGTAGCACATGACTGGGTCATCAGAGAGAACATACATGTCAATTACATGTACCATGCACACATGAGAATAATTTAGAGTACATGCAAATGTTTCCAAAAAAATACGGCAAGCGCACATTTACAAAAAATAATACCATTTTATTAGCACACACAAGACGTTACAAGACAAATAGAACAGAAAAAAATACAGAGAAAAGCTATGGTCTCAGAATTGCACTTAATGTTATATAGGACTATACAAACTAAGGTCCCCAATCTTGCTTGGCTGAGATTGCTGGAAGTTTTGGGAAAAAAACAGACAGAGAACCTTAGTTCTTAGAGCCTATGATAAATGAATACATGAGCATTGCTTAGCAACAAAATATTTTTTATAAGGCTTCTGTGCATCTTTACAGAACCATTGGTTTGAGAGAAAAAGCACAATAAAAGGGTTTGAAGCATGATCCAAGCAGTTAAAAAATACAGTAATCTTTTTGCATGTCAGATATTAAACCAACAGGCCCGAGACCCACCCCCCTACATATTGAGGGGTTCACTGGCTCTGAAGGTTTTTAGCACTACAAGAAAGAGGATCAATAAGATTTGAAGACAAGATTACAAAATATTATATTTATTTTATAGGGTTGACAAGTCATTACAATAAATATTCTTTACTATTGTCCAAAAAAATACAATTAAAATAGTTCATTAATAACTTTAAATCTACTGCATTAAGACACTGTTTTGTATTGTTCTTCAGCAACGGACAGTTGACCCCTATGTCAAGAGCACCGAGCAAGAAGTCCGCCATTAAGGAAAGAGTGGCTCAGCCTGCATTGGTTTGGAAGTTAAATGGTGCTGTGCCAATGAGGAAAGAATTGAACTGGATCACAGTTGAATCCTTCTGTGGCAAAAGGCATGCTCCCCCACCTTCCATCATGGATAACATAACATGCAGATTAGACGATTACTCTTTGCAAAAACGTACCTTCTTGCAGGACATAGGGGTAAACCAAGGAATAGTTAAAGATCACTTCCGATGTGCATCATTTTTGTCCAACTGGAGGCCCACTTGCTACATATGATCTTAAAGAATTTTAGTAGACCTCCTACCTTACTGAAAAAAAATCATTGGGGAAATTGGTAATAACAAATTGAGGCATAGTTCCAAAAGTACAACAATCACATGGAAAACAGTAGAATGTTCCTGGTGATTTCATTGGTTTCAACGGTGATAGCCTAACTTTTAGAACTTTTTCTTTATTTTTTTTACTCTTCCTATAATAACTTGTGGAGCACCACAGGAAATCGAGTTAACTCACATTAGCAGTGCCAATGTTTATCTTGAATGTTCCCTTGTATCTCAAAGCTGCCATCCTACCAGCTATTGTTTCTGAATAATATTGTTCACATTACAAAGCTGGACAAAAATGATGTAGAATCTTTTTAGCAGTTCCATTGATTAGAATCATAAAAAATAAAATACACATTCTTCTCACCAATATTCAAATTGGTATAGGTTAAAATAAAACAAAAATATATTTCAAGTATTTGACCGTTTCATTGAATATACCATTCTCAAGGCACAGCCCCGTGAAGCTGGACTCGCTGTCTTGTTTATGTAGATAATAAGCATCTTGCCAATACGATCCAAAGGCACGTTTTGAGACCATACTGGCCTTCCAGTAATTATTTTCTGCAATGGCTGGGCTTCAGTTAAACTGACCCATTGTCACATGTTAGGGAGTGACTTTATCTCTAGTAAAGCCCCATACATTTTTATATACTGAACTATAGTATTGGTAACAGGCAAGAAGATCACAAGGTGTGCCCCTCAAGAATAGTAATATGTTAATTTATGTTAATACATTAATTTCTATTGTACACGGAAATAAAATAAACCTGTCATAGGCTTAATGTAAACATGCAATAATTATTGTTAGGGATGTTGAGAAATTTACCCTAGTAATGGGGTTGCTATTGAAAAGGACTATACAACAGAATTTAAAGGACCACTATAGGCACCCAGACCACTTCAGCTTAATGAAGTGGTCTGGGTGCCAGGTCCAGCTAGGTTTAACCCCTTTTGCTGTAAACATAGCAGTTTCAGAGAAACTGCTATGTTTACCTATGGGTTAATCCAGCCTCTAGTGGCTGCCTCATTGACAGCCGCTAGAGGCGCTTCCACGCTTCTCACTGTGATTTTCACAGTGAGAAGACGCCAGCGTCCATAGGAAAGCATTGAGAATGCTTCCATATGGACTGGCTGAATGCGCGCACGGCTCTTGCCGCGCATGCTCATTCAGCCAAGGACGTCAGAAGAGAGAGGAGAGTCCCAGCGCCAAGGGAGCCCGGCGCTGGTAAAAAGGTAAGGGATTAGCCCCTTCCTCCCCCTTCAGCGCTACGGGAGTGGGACCATGAGGGTGGGGGCACCCTCAGGGCACTATAGTGGTCCTTTAATCATGGTTTTTGATTGATTGATTGATTGATTGTTATTTACTTTTACATCCCATCTCTTGATCTTTTCATTTGAGAGGCATTTGTCTGATCAGTATCTTAAACTGAGCATCTAGCATTTTAAGCAAATATAGTTAGAGGAACACTATAGTCACTCAGACCACTATGGGGATCATTTGATTGGACCGTTGCAGAGGAAGCCATACCTCCTCCATGATGTCATGGAAGGCAGAGAGGTAAGTAAAAAGTTTATTTCGCTAGTTTTTATAGCACACAGATGTTGGACCTGTATATAACTAGGGACAGGGGTATTATATTGCTAGGAATACAGGTTTGTTCCTTAAAAAAGATAAACCATTGAATCATTTGTGAAAATATTATTACTATTTTGTCCTCCTCATGGGTCACATGAACAAATAGACTTAATCTGACCCAAACAATGGGACAAAATTTTACATTTATTATCGGACAGGATGTGTGCTGGCAAAAGTCAAAAGGGATGTGTTCGGAATTCCATATGAAGTTTTCAAAGCAGTACATTCAGCAGAATTGGAGGAAGAGAAGCGTAAACACAACCCACAAAGCCAACAAAGCAGTGTCCCTTCACATCCTGGGAGGGCCAGTTATCTGGCAAATTAATCTATTGTCACACGTCGAAGAAGACATGTTTTAGCTAGTATAAGTGTCTGACAAAAGGGGGAATATTGCTGTGAGTTTTCTTAAGTGTTTTTGGCAGGTTTTAAAAAAAAAAAACTATAATATAAAAAAATAAATAAATAAAATAACATTTTCAGCAATAATTATTTTACCATTCTAAAAAGAACTGATATCTTTTGGAATTTGAGTCTGTGTCTATATGCTCATTGGAAACTTATTGAACAACATTCTAAAAGGGAAACAATTACTATGGAACCCAACAGAAAGCACAGGAAATTCAATGCGTCCATGGATTTTCTTCAACTCCATAGTCCCTGTTGTAAATGTATCCTAATTAGTGTGTACATAAGAACCAGCCCTCTATTCTACATCATGAAAATATCACCCTGAAGTGGGGGGAGATAGTGCTTCCTTTAATTCACCATCGGGTCTAATTTTACATGTAGTAATTAAACTACCCCAGCCAAGGTCCATACCAAGGAGATCTCAACAATGTTGAGAACCGAACATATGCATGCATATACAGTGGTTCAATCCCAATAACAAATCAATCTCTGCTCACAAATAAATAAATAAGAAATCCCCAAAAATTTCATATGAAAGTTTCCTTAAAGATTTATCCAGTGCTTCCAAGAAAATAGATCGTATTGTATCCTCTGACATATCCAGTACAATAAAAAGTGGAACGGCAATAAGATCTGCTATATATGGCTAATTAGTACTGCAAGAACAGCTCTAATGAGGACGTAGCTATATGCCAATTACTGTGCATGTGTAGTGTTCCAATATAAGAATGAATGGGGTTTACTGGACATTTGTAGGGTAGTCACGACCTTTAATTCCTGTGAATAGCAATCAATGAGGCTGTTTCATAAATGTTTTGTGGCCTCCACAATATTTTAATTGTTGGTCTTATTGTTTTCAATGGGAGACCAGTTATTGGCTGAGAGAAGTCTTTCACTTCATACTTGAGTAGACTTATAAGAAAGTACGGTAGCTCAAAATCTAGGGAAACAGCAATATTTAGAGGGAAGTAAAGGAAAAAAAGTTCAGTTTTTTTAAACACATTTTTATAGAAGTATATTAAAATAGACATTCCAATCCACAGCACATCATCTCACTTTTTTTTTTTTTTCGTTTTTTTTTTCTTCTAGGGATCAAAATTATGTACACTGATGCCTTGATTATAAAATGGCAGAGGAGCTTCCATTACGCAAGGAACACATTATTATGAACTGTTGCATGGTGTCTGAAGGACATGATGGAGGTAAATGGAGCAATCAGCAGGATTATTACACGGTTATCAAGGTGACTGCTCCACATTTTGAACTTTGATGCAGAATTTCTATTTACACATAACCCTCAATGTGTCTGCTGAAACCAGTTGAGGCCCACTGAAACAGCACGGGGAGGCAACTTTGGGCCCAGGCCCAAGCCACACCTTTTAATTAAAATATCTTTTTGTAACCAAAGAGGTTTCTGTTTCTATTGTATGTGTTGTACTTTTAGCTACACAATCACATACATATTTACATGTAACAACATAGCTTTCTTTGGAATATAGTTCACCTGGGATATCATGCTCACCAGATTTGAATGGCCTACAACTACCAGAATTCAATGAATGAAACAGAAGGCCAGAGAATCATGGGTTGTAATTCAGCAACATCTCACGGGCCAGAGTTTGAGATGCCTGTTGATTGCAGTCCCATAAAAAATTTTTTTTTTTAAATAATATAAAATTATACATATATATGTTTTTATTTTATTTACATTTTATTTTAGGTTATTTATTGCAGTGAAAAAGGAGCCCTTTTGACATCTCCCTGGGGCTGATCTTTAATACCCATATTTAACCTCTGGACTACCATCCGTGTGAGCAATACAAAGCACACAAAGAAATTATGCTCAGAGGTTTCAATAACATTTGACTTGGCAACCTCTGCCTCCTTTGCTTTTGTATACTACGACTCCCAAAATGCCTAGCCAGACACCTTTTTTGGAAGTCGCTAGCATACATTTTTTAAATTAGCAAAACCGCAAATGCACATGTGCAAACTGTGTTCTGTACACAACCTCGGATAAAATAAAAAGAAAATTTAAAAAAAATTAGGTAATAAACGAATATAAGAAACATCGGCATATTTATTACTTAAACATATTTGAATTCACTTCTTAACGTCTGTTGTTTTGGTTTGTAAAGAGATTTTTTGCTGCTTTGCTGACATTTTGTTTAGATTTTGGCTTTTACATTGCAATGAGCACAGATAGCCTGTGCATGGTTTGGAATGTGGGTTAGAACACAGAATTCAAACCTTATAATCTGTAATAGTATATTGTCAGTGTAAACATGGTCTTTAAACTGCCAGGAACAGAAGAAACGGCAATTGCATTTAACTGGGAACATTCCGTTATCCCTGTCACAGGCTGCAGATTGAGACGAAAATGAAAAGTTAAAAGAAGTGAGTCATAGGGGGGAAATGTAGCAACAGAAAACAATACGGAATGTCCCCAAATGTGGCAAAGGATGAATCAAACCCACACCCTTCTACATCTCATAGAAAATTGGGCAGACTAGATGGGCCGAATGGTTCTTATCTGCCATCACATTCTATGTTTCTATAGTGCTCCTAAAAAGTTGCATGGTGACAAGCACGCCTTCAAGGAAATGATGTCCTCCCTATGCCTCCCCTCCCAGAAGCAGTTCTTGTCTAAAGGTCATGGGAGTTGCAGACAAATGAACACCTGAAGGAAATTTTAAATGACTTTAACTCTTTTTGTACAAAGGTAATTTGAGTCCCAGCATCTTTAATGCTAATTGGTCACTAGGTCCTGTCTCTATTGTAAAGATCTAAAAAAAAAATAAAAAAAAAATAAAGGAATATGATCATATTTTGGTTGCCTGTTTAATAAATATATATATAAAAAAAATGTCTTCCCATAAATATCTTTAAAAGGACACTGTAGGCACCCAGACCACTTCAGCTAATTAAAGTGGTCTGGGTGCAGTGTCCCTTTTGCACATACTGCTGCAATGTAAAACACTGCAGTTCCATAGAAATTGCAATGTTTACATTGCAACACTAAACCTGTCCTCAGTGGCTATGTACCAGACAGCCATTAGAGGACTTTCTGAATCGAAACGGACCCTAGGTATCCGGTATCTGACGCTGGACGTTCTCACGCTCTTTCCCCCATAGGAAAGTATTAATTAATGCGCATTAGACCCTGCACATCGCGGGACGGAGGAGGGGCAGAGCGTCAACCCAGAGCCAAGGGACATCGACACTGGGAAAAGGTAAGTAAATAAAGGGGTTTTAACCTTTATTTACCAAGAAGGGGACATGTGGGAGGGATTGGGGGGAGGTGGGGCAAGGGGAGCCATAGTGCCAGGAATACAGCTTTGTATTCCTGGCACTACAGTATCTCTTTAATTACATTTTGCTTAGAATGTTGAAATGTAAATACTTAGATGTACTGGTTAATGATGTGCAACTATTCGTTTTGCTTTATAAGATGACTCTCTCCATAACATGTCTATCTGTTGGTATTCTTTATTTATCAATTCTACCAAGCATTTAATAAAATTAAACATGAGTTTTGTTTGGTCTCTATACTAGGCCATATTACCTCTTGTTTACATTTAATCAATGAGACAATAAGTGCACAATTTAGAACTGTCCCTCTCTAAAACACCTAATGGAGAAGCGCATAATATACAAAATGAATTTTATCGTCTTCAAAAAGGTAATCTATTTGTGTCCTACAGTACTGGTGACAGTATTTCCAGAATTAAGGTAAATGTAGTCATTATCTTCCCTTCCAAAGCCTAAAATCATATCAGTTTATTTCCTGTATTTACATGTGGTTTCTTATAAGAGGATAATAGTGTTATCAGAGTGACATTGTTTAGGGTGAAGATGGTCGCCATAAAAGGCTGGCTTTTACGTATTTATATATGTGGTCATTTTGGACTCAGTATTGTCGTCTTACAGTGACTGTTGGATGACTTATCAAATCACTATGGTATGACTGGAAAACAAGATGTAACATTCAATATTGGTCCTAGGGATCATCCAAAGCATTGTACAAACAGGGAGAGTACACAGAGGCGACTATGGGGTCAGTAAAGTCATTTTTCAGCTGCCATCACTAGCCCAGAGTTTGAAAAGATCTAACCCTCCACTACTACTGTCCAAAGACACTGGTGCCAATTGAACTGTCGGAGGGAGAGGCGGAATTCACATGGAACTTTTTAGAAGTATTAATAAATGTGGATGGAAATGAAGCTGTAAACACAAGAGGTCTGTGATTGCATTCTAAATCTTAAATACAAACCATAGACTTGAATTGTGGCAGAAACTAGAGCAACCGAACTAGCCCTTATTCACCAATGACAGATTGCAAACAGGGATACATAACAATGCTAACTGCATTTAAGTCACTTAAAAGAACATTGTGGCAGGTAGCACCTTAATTGTAGCACCACGTCTCCAAAATTTAGATAATAAGCCACAACGCAAACGAGGAAGACAAGATCTCATGTGCGGCAGTATGCTATTGTCCATGTGGATTCAATAATCTCACAGTGTACCCCTCTGGTGGTTATTATTACTATGTATAAAATGTTAATTAGCGGTATGGTATTGGAGACAAGTATCTAAAATTCATCCAATGACATATAAAAAGAGGTTTTGGAGAACCACCAACCCGTTCACCTAGGACTTGTACCAGAAGAAGACAACTTGGCCTGCAACAGATACTCTTGTTTATATAGCCAGGTGGACAAAGCACAGTGTATGTGGAAACTTTACTTCCAATGGGTTTCAGAGATACAACCAGGGCAGGAGATGCTATTGATGGTTCAATGATGTTATGGGATGACAGTGGGAGCACGAATAACCAACAGAATCCTCCCCCCCTCATTATAATGTTGCATCATTCATAACAGTTATCCACTAAAGAATGCTTTCAGAGAAATGGAATGGGTTGGTGAGTGCTGACAACTACCTTTAAAAACTAGCTAATTTTCAGAATCCTAAATCATATCAAGCTCCCAACCACATACAAAGAAAAAGGAATAAATTTAAATAAGTTCTCTCTTGAATACATCTGGCACACATGCGGTTCATTTGACCGATCCTTCATAATTCAGAAATTTTGCATAAACAAAGGTCTAACACTAGCCCGAGATATTAAAATGAAAATAAATTAATTAAAATAATCTATCGGATGAACCCATCTTCCATAACACCAATGATGTGTAGAGTGGCTTACCAATTCAGGTAAAATAGGACCTAAGAGCACCCTTCACTAATCATATCTGCTTGTTTGTTTCAACACTATCCCACATATATGCTATAGTGTATTGGACATTGTCAGAATAAAAATAAAGTGTATGCAAAGGTGTGTACAGAAAAAAAAGCTAGTTTGCAATCTAATTTAAGAAGGTGGGGGGGGAATAATTCTGCAGATATATGTTAAATGACAAAGTTTTTATTTGCTTCAATTAATCTATGCTGTAATATAAATGGTTCTTTTGGATATCTACATACCTGACAAGTGTCCTGTGTAATGCATCAGGGGACAGCACAGATGCATTACTGAATATACTTGTAGTAGAGTAAGCTGGTGTATAATCAAGTACTGAATAAGTGCTCTGCATTATGGGCAGTCCTGGTTGGCCACTTCGTGCTCATGTCATCCCAAGCCCTTTCGTCCCATACGGACAGGTAGGCATGTGTGTCTGCTGGTAGTGTAAATGTAATGTTAAAGTAAAGTGTTACTTAGGGTATGTCAAATATGTTTTGTTCGAATGGTTTGTCTTTTTGACAAATTGTACAGTGAGGCCGGATATATTGGCGTTATATAGATAACTAATTGTAAGAGCAATGTTTCCCAGCTTTCCCTATTAGAGGAAGACTGTAGGTATATCTTGTAGACGGTGTTGGAAAATAATATTCCATAGCATTGGTTCCCAAACTTTTTAGGTTCAAGGCGCAATTAATATTTCAATATTTTTCCAAGGCGCCCCAAGTTAAAATAATTTCTTAGGTTGTATATCTGTACATCGTAGCAACATATACTGGGCCCCTGTTCGGCAGAAATGCTTGCCGTTCATGCGCAGATCCAGAACCTAATCTCGGGAGAGGCACTGGTACATTATTTAAAGAAACAATCCAGTCACAATAACCATTACAGTACTTTGCAGTGGTTATGGTGCCAGTAGTGCCCTCCCAGAGTAAGTAGTCAAACTGATTAAGAACAATTTGCCAGCTTACCTGGGATCTGCCGGGAAAGGGGCAGCAGTGTGTCTGAAGTGTGCAATATGTGTGTCTGAGTGGGGGAGTGAGTGTGTGTCTGTGTGAGGGGTGCAGTGTGCGTGTGTGGGGTGCAGTGAGTGTACAGGGGTGCATTGTGTTTGTAAAGGATGTAGTGTGTGTGTGAAGGATGCAGTATGTGTGTGTGAGGGGTGCAGTGTGTGTGTGTATGTGGAGCAGTTTGTCCATGAGCGGTACAGTGTGTGGGGGCAGATTGTATGAGGGGTACAGTGTGTGTGATGGTGCCAGTAGTGCCCATACACACTGTTTGTGTGTATGGAGGGGCAGTGTGTGTGTGGGGGGGACAGTGTGTATGTTAAGGAGGGGCAGTGTGTGTGTATGGAGGGGTAATTGGGTGTATAGGGGGAGTTATTGTGGGTCTGTGGGGGTTGGAGGGTAGATAAATATACACTTATTTAATTTTTTATTTTGATTAAAAAAAATTTAAATTTTAATTAAAAAATTATAATTATTATTTTAATATCCCCCCTCCCTGCTTACCTTTGCCTGGGAGGGGGGACATTTCCTGCAATCCCTGGTGGTCCGGTGGAGAAGCCCTGGTGGTCCGAGTGGTGACCGTGAACTCTAGCAGCCTCAGGAGCTGCTAGAGTTCCCTTTCGCGAGATTCGGAGTGTTGCCGTGATCACAACGGCAATGCTCGGGGCTTGCAAGAGGAGAACCCAGCGGAGCTGCAGGTTAGAGATCCCCGGGTCGTCCCTCCCCTGCCGGCTGCCGCATTACACTGCTAGCGGGATGGGGAGGGAGATCTCTGATCTCCCCTCCGGTCCTGCAGAGCCGGTAGGAGAGAGAAAGGCCCATTTCCCAGTGCTATGATCGTAAGAGCATAGCACTGGGAAAATATCTTGCGGCTCCCCTGTGTGCCCGTGGCGGTGCCCACACAGTTTGGGAACCGCCGGGTTAAAGGATAAATATATTAATTATAATAAATCCCACCACTCACAGCTGGGCTATGCTGCATAAAAACAACAAATTAATGCATTTAAATCCATAATAAGCACTGTTCGACAGTTAAATATCCTACATCCTACCTCTATTAGCAATGTATGCAACACAACATTGAGCCCAATTGAGTTATTATAAGGAGGTATTACCCTACTACAATGTGATGCAAGATCCAAGTGTTTACAATGTAAGGGACCTGCGTGTCCCAATGTGAAGCTGATTGTTTGGAGACCCGCGAGTCTCACCAACACATATCAGATCAAGCTCCATTCTGAAAATAAAAATAAATTTACAAAATAAAATCCATAATAAGTGAAGAGTATGGTTTAAAAAGAGAGAAAAGATTGCAAAACATACATCACACTCTACACATGCCTCTCTATAACTGTTATGTCTATAAATCTTATCTTGTTATCGGAGGAATGGTGTATGTAAACTTGTGTGTCAATCTTGGGGTAGAACAGGTTGAATATTGGTAGATGTACGTGTGATATGGTAGGTTATACATTCTTCTAAAAAGTAGGAAAAAGGATAAGGGCTTATTAATAAACCGTAACTTTGAGGGCAATGTTCTAAAAGTGGATAAATTGCCATGGAAACAAAATGTTTCACAATTAGCACTATTCCCCACAATTTCTTTTTATATATAAAACTTTCATTGTTGATAAAAACCTGGGATTATGCAGACATACTAAAGCCTAACTACACTAGAGAGACAGGACAGTATCCCATAACTAAGCCAAAAGGAGGAATTTCACCAAATTAAAGGGACACTATAGTCACCAGAACAACTACAGCTTCTTGAATTTGTTCTGGTGAGTAGAATCATTCCCTTCAGGCTTTTTGCTGTAAACACTGTCTTTTCAGAGAAAATACAGTGTTTACATTACAGCCTAGTGATAACGTCACTGGCCACTCCTCGGATGGCTGTTAGAGATCCTTCCTGGGTCATGGCTGCCTAAAATGCATCCAAACATTCAGTATCTCCTCCCTCTGCATGCAGACACTGAACTTTCCTCATAGAGATACATTGATTTAATTCATCTCTTTAAGGAGATGCTTATTGGCCAGGGCTGTGTTTGAATTGTGTTGGCTCTGCCCCTGATCTGCCTCTTTGTCAGTCTCAGCCAATCTCATGGGGAAGCATTGTGATTGGATCAGGCTACCATTTCTGCTGATGTCAGCAGGCAGTGGGTGGGTCAAAAGGAAACAGTGACAAAGCCAGCAGCTTCAGGCTTGAATACAAATAAGATTTACTATATTTAGGGAGGCATGAGGGGACCAGGGTGGCTAGATGGTGGTTTTAACCCTATAGGGTCAAGAATACATGTTTGTGTTCCTGACCATATAGTGCTCCTTTAAAATTTACATAACATTTTTGATACACATTGTTTTTACTACAACTGCAAACCATATAGCACACAGGAATATTTAGGATTCATCTTTATACCACTTTCTTATGCATTTGGTGTACTTACTAAGGAGTTAAACCACTCCTTTCAATGGAGTATTTTTATTCTGAATTAAACCTTCTGGTTTTTCTACGCAGTCTGTTACTATTCCGTCCTGAACATTATACTACGGATGACGATGGTGTATGGGATGGCGATGGTGTTAAACATTATAATTTTTTTAATTTAAATAAATGTTCTGAATTTAACTATAATGCATAGGCAGTGCAACAATGCAAAATCAAATTAAATAAAGCCCCACTTACCTCGACCTCTGCTTAAATCCTGGTCACATATCTACAACATAACTCTGCTTAGTCCTTCTGCCTTAGGCAGAGGGACTGTAGATTATGTCACCCTCTTGCATGTAAAGAGTAGCTGAATAGCACCAGGGGGGCATAATAAAGCTGTTAGTACACTATCATGGCTTATTTTTTAGGCTGTAACAACAGCTTGCAAGTTACTTTAAACTGCATGTGCTTGGTTTTAACCAAACAACTTGATTTATTGTATTATTACATTTTGATGGCATTTTGGGAATCTGCATTCCTAAAAATAACAGTAGATTTTTTGTTTTGCATGGACTGCACATTATAAAATCCCCATTTGAAAACTACGTTTGTTGAATGTGTATTGCAAGATTAGGAATGCAACATAATGTCTAATACTTTACTAAAAAATACAAATTCTGTAAATTCACATTTTTTATGTATTCATGAATGGCAGTTTGTATTGTTTATGTTCCAGCCATGTCTTATATGTGTCACACGAATGTTCCATGAAATAAATAAAATGTGAATAAAAATATGTATATGAAATTAATACAACTTTAGTAGTGAATGGGTGATGGGTGATATTTGTAAAAATGAATCATGAGACTGCATTTACAGCTTATTCATAACAATGAAACCATACCCAGCTAGCCTCCTGCCCTGGTATGTTTAACGCAGCTGCATTGTTCTATAGACACTACATGGAGACATTTAGATGTATAGGGCACAACCAGAGAAACTGTTTAAATATTTTATTGAGAACTTCAAAGTTCAACATATGCCCTAGTTTAGGGTTAAACTCAAAAGTCCTGATAATGATGCACAGCATCGAACATAGTTCCTTATCCAACAATGTAACCGTTTCGTAAACTACTGGTTTACATTTCAAAAGAGAGATATATATCATGCCACTAGGAATCGCCACCATTTCTTATTAGAACAATAACAGACGGTTTGCTATTAATTGTGTTAAGAAATTTCAGCGTAATTCCCTGGCATAAAAAAAAAAATGTTTTTATCATGACATGAGAGAATTGATCTGTGACCTTGATAATATGCTTAATGAATGCTACGGAAAGTATCAGTTGGCAATGGATACACTGCATTTAAATATAACAAGTTGGTGAATTAAGACTACATAAGGCATTTGAGGGAAATATTGTATTAGAGTGATTGAAAAGAGAACTGCAAAATTTAGCTGGACTGGAAAACCTTTCAAGCGCATGGAAAACAGCCTGGAAAAATACAGATCACGTGCGTCAATGCAGATCCACTAGCTGTTCTTGAACTACAACCCACACATTTATCCGCCAGCCGCGGACTGGTAAATAATTATGCAAATTGTAACCCGACAACAGCATTCAGGTGTAGGTTAAATAATGCTACTATGTGAAGTCTGCCTTCTTCGTTCTTAGCCATGCATGCGCAATGCTCCCTCCCACAATACTTAGTTTGTGGCTACGTGTAAGGCATTATGGGATATTGTAATTTACGTGATGTTAGAACAAAATTCAAACAAACCCACAGCAGCAACATGGTTACAGATTACACCTCCACGTCAATGGCATTACGGTAAAATTTGAAATCTTTAGAAATAAAAGTGTATCTATACATCTGCTAGCAATTTAGGTGGCAGAATGTAGGGATCACATGCTTAATATTTATAAAGTGCTGCGTGAGAGGTGTCCTGTAAATGAGCCAAGAGCACCTTCACCTTTGATTTTGCTTTTTTGATCACAGTATAACTCATATGTTTTCCCTCGCTTCAAACTGCAGACATTTTATATATGGGATTCATGAACTCCGTTAAAGACCAATCATATTTACAACAGTCACTACAATGTAGTCGCTACGGGCTACAATGTGGAAAGTCCTGCTTATTAAACAGTAACAGCTCTATACAGGCCTAGTAGAATTAAATAAGTGGGACATTCCATTTTCATACAAGATCTTAAAAGGGGAACCGTCACTTCTCATTAAAAATCACCTATAATTTACAGGTTTTTTTTACATTAGATGCTCCCAATTCATTTTATGTTTTATATTAAACATTTAAATCAAATTACATCACAATCCAGTTCAGTTCAAGCATATTCTTGGCAACCATTGCAGACAAAAAAAGGGAAATAAAAAATAAAAAAATTAGCTGCATTCTCCTCTTCTCCGCATACGGTCTCTCTGCTCAGTCAAAGGGCAGAGCTTATAAGAATGATTGACAGGGAACCAAGATGAAGGGGCCCAGTTACAGGAAAATGAAGTGTGGAGTTCTATATTTAACGTTGCTTTTCACGCCGCACAACATACAAATTCATTAAATATAGCAATATAAAGGGAAGTTGACATAATAGTAAAAAAAAACTATGGAAGGGATGGTTCCCCTTTAAAAGCTAGTTTGTTACGATGAAATTATTAAATCAAGGGTCTTTAAGGGGTAATTGAGAGCAGCCTCATAGCACACTAAAAGCTATTAAAGAGGATTCCGTGTTCTAAAATATTTATAGCAACCTATCATATTTATATATAAACAATACGAAATAATTACTACCTTTTTTTCTTTGTTTTACCACTATAAGTTATTTACGAGTGAAATGGTGAATTGTTGCATACTGCAGAATTATGCATATTTTGGGTTTCTCTCATTCAAATTCCAGTTAAAAAGCAACCCTAATATTATATGTCCTATATAGTAAAATTCACTTCTGAAATTATTAAGATTTAAACCAGCCGTTTCCATTAAACTTTAACAAGGGAGTGAAGCCAGTGCATGAAAATGATGGTAGAACATTCTCTCTATAGCCAGACCTATTTATTCTAAAGCAGTAGGAGTTTTGCATCCGTGCCTTCAGTATTCGCATGCTGGAAATAAATAGTGGTGCGGAATTTTTACATGCAATTTTTTTTAAGGGCCTTCTTTTGTGTCTATTTTTCACAGTAGTGGAATCAAATTTGCTATGTGAATATTGTCTGATTAATTAGCAATTCTGAAAAAAATCTACGATCGTATGATTACCAAAAAAATAAACAATATATCACTACACGCAGCTCATCTTTACAATTGTTCTATCACTGACTCTAGAGCTTTACTGTGATCAGAAAAAAACATAAGGGAAATTAAAGGCTGGTGCTAGAACTTTAAGGTAACACAACAATTAACATAGAACTGCACAGCAAGCACCCTATTTGCTTGAAAAAAGTAAGCAAATTCCACATTAACCTGTCATGGGTGCTAATTGTACACAGATCCAAAACAAATGCATTTTAATTTTAACTGAAGATTACGCTAAATGCACCTTGAGGGGTTGAATACAATGACTGCAGCCCATGCAGAATGAACCTTTTATATGCCTCTGGTTGTGTTAAGTAGACGGCCCACCGTATAGAAGTTGTTGGGCCCTCCAACAATCAAATGAGTTGGTAGGAAAATACATATTGCAATCTCTTTTTCAGACGGAAAAATACTTACTCCTAAGGAGTGGTTCTATTCGCAAAATACATTATGCTTGCTGGATATGATAAAAATATTTTAGGCTTCCCACCAAATGACTCACCGCTCCTTCGAGCAATAATGTTGGGGGTATATGCATACTTATTTCCCTCTCCCTCCCCCCTTAAAAAAATAAAATTAAAATAATAATTAATAGTACATCCTTTTTATTTGCATAAGGCAAAATTACTTCGGATCCTTCAATCTTCCTTGTTCTTTTCAACGTTCTCCATAGGACAACACAGAGAGGTATACTTTGCACAGAATGTTGCGGTTTTGTGCATCGAACCCTATGACGTTATTTCTTGAGGCTCCTGTTCCAGGACAACGGGTCCTCTAATCCTTGGGACCTCATGTTGAAGACTGTCGTACAAAATGTAGGGCTGGCCTTTTTTTCCCAACTAGCATGCTTGACAATTCAGTATCAGGGGTCTGGTAAATCTGAAGTATCCACTATCACTTTAATAAAAATAGTATCATCTTTTATGTACGTCCCATTTTCAAGAACAGTTTGGGCTACAAACACAGGACAGCCCGAGGCAATGTTCATTTCACCGGTGGGTTTCTTGAAGCTGCTGCTATTTGGGTCGGGCTTGAAAGCATCTCCTAGATGACGTCGTGATGGACCCTGATCCATCAACATTAAACTAACTTTCTGTTTAAAAGGCCAAGGAAGCAGCGCATCATATTCCCCTCTCATGATCACAAAAAACAAAGATAAGTGGGTCCCCTTTCCCATGCCATCTCCGTTGAGATAGACTCTTGCACACATTT